AGTCTTCCATTAGGAAATGAAAGATGTCTCAGGGTCCCTCTGGTTGGCAATTGAATCTCTACAGGAGGCTAGTTAGACCTCTGATGCCAGGTCTGTCAAAGAACAGTAAAACAGCCAGAAATCTATTTTAAACATAGACAATAAAACCACAGAATCAATAGCAGCGGCAGCAGCAGCAGAATCTAGCCTAATTATAAACTTCCTAGATGTCATTCTCAAAGACCTCAGCAAATGAACAGGATTTTTTTTTTCACCCGAGAGATCATTTTCCTGAGACTTGGAATATGAGGAAGCCTTGCTATGTACTGATATCTCTCCATGAAGGGATTTTGAACCTGTTTGTACCAGTGTCACAACAGGCAAGAGATAAGAGATGGAAGAGTGAGACTGGAGCAAAAACAATAGAGTTAATAGTGCAGCTGTTCCCAGTCCAAAGGGATGGATGTGTGAAACTGCCTTGTATTCAATTTGATCATTGGTTCATCTAATAGGCTGGTATTATATATCCTGACCAGGGATGTCTGCAAGGTCACAGCAGAAATCTTTCCAAAGCCTGCATGGAACATGCAGAAGATTTAAACCTGGAGCTTTGCTGAATAAAGCTGCATGCTCTGTCTTTGAGAAATGGAGCCTTTTCTTTCTCGTTCAGCCTTATTGTTCAGCTTCTGTAGATCTTGGAACAGGGAGGAGGCAATAACAGCATGAAGGGCCTGACAGATGCTTTCAAGTTACAGGACTATAATTGAGTTGGAGACTTGATCGAAAGCTGCGGAAACTGCTGGTTCCACTAGAGAGATTAAAATGGGCAGGGAAGGGAGTGGGATGAGTGTTGCTCCTTAACTGTAAAGGCCCTCTCTGAACTGTTTGCGGGATTAATAGCCTAAAGCAGGACCTCTTTTTAAAAAAAATAAAACAAGCAAAACCCCCAAACCCAGAACTCTTTTTACCTGTACCCTGCAGGCTTTGATTTCCTCTGGAAGAAAAAACAAAATGTGTGAGGAACCACATCAAAACAATCCAGACCTCTGCTATTTTAAGATCATGGGCCAAAGGGATAGTTGCATCAGTGTTACAGAATATTGCATTTCAGGGGAGTTATTGAAGAGGAGAATACTGTTTAGAATACTGGTTTGATTAGAAAGAGGGTGCCATTTTATTTTGATTTAAAAAGGGCCAAGAATTGGGAGCTCCTTTCCCCTCTGCTTCTGGAGCAAGCTGCTTAATGGACAACAGATGGCCCTCTCCGCAGTTAAAGCAGATCGGCTAGTTTTGTTGATGATTGCAATGGAGTTTACTGTGGTGCATTAGAACAGCTGTTTTTCTTTCTCAGATTTGACCATTATAGTGGATGTTTATTTTATAGCCCAACTGCTTTGTTTAGAGGGGACAGAAAACCTGGGGATTTGAAAGCACCATGTATTCTTTTCACTTAATAAATTCCTGTCAGATGAGCTGAAGAGTGGCTATTTGTAGGCAGGACCAGTAGCCTTCAGTTACTCCATGTCCTGCCTCTCCTGAGTTTAAGTTGTGCTTATTTCGGATCAGTTCCTTTTAGATCCTTTTCCTGCAATTCGGCAGTTGGCAAATGAGTTCTCTGTCTCTTGATGCTGACAGAGGAAACAACTGGCACAAATTCCAAAACAAGTTTAAATTAAAATGTTAACACAAAAATGGATCTGCTCTACATGGAAATGGTCTAATTTTCAAACGAGTTTTAGGCTTTTGTGCTCCAGTTACTTTTCTTTTTAATGAAATTTCCAGAATAAATTTGAGAGGATTAAATAGTGAATCATGGCCCACAGTTCAAAGCTGCATACGTGTGTGGGGGAATTAACCATGTAATTTGTCCATTTATGAAACAGTAAGATAGAAAATGAAAAGGTTGGTCATTGTGGGCTCCCTCTCAGTTGTTGAGAGTGTGGAAAACATGTTGGATCTCATTCCCCAAATTACTTCTTGTGTTCTTAAGGAAGGATCTATGTTCAAGGCACTTAACCAAGATTAATTATAGTTTAAAACAAGATTTACAGCTAAGAGAGCAGGGTCATATGCAGCCCCTCCAGACTCTAGAGTGCAGTCCCCTTTCAAAAGCTGCAGACAAAATGTAATTTATAATATGATCTCAACAGAAAATATTAAATACATGAGGAGTAATTGTATTAACAAAACATTTTGAATCCAAACTGTTTGATGCACTCCATTTTCAGTTTAAAGCCGCCATTTCAAGTGTAAAACAGACTGTTCCAGTCAATTGGGCGGAGTTTCAAGCACAAAATAACTGTTTTAAATTTGATATACCTCAATGATGATAACTGTCCATTTCACACTTGCATTCAAAACAGAGCATTTTAGATTTGAAACTGATCAAAATTGAAACATTTTGCAGAACTCCTAGTAGCTTCCTGTTATATAATTTATTTTGAATATTAACAGGCAACTCCTGTTTTTTGCTTGCTTGTTGTATTTTAAGAGGTAC